AAAAGATCTGGGAGGGAAGATGGAAAGGGTGGAAGAGAACATGAGGGCCCTAAAAAAAGAAGTAAGAGGTGAAATCGAGAAGCTAAAAGAAGATACGAAGAGAAGAGAGGCTATGTGGTCGGAACAAAGGAGAGAAATGGAACGGAAGATAGAAATGCTGATAAAGAAGATTGAGGAATTAGAGAAGAAAGGAGAAGGTGGGGCAAGATGGAACGAGATAGAGCAGAAAGTACACAAAACCGTGCAGGAATCTATAGAAAAAAGAAAGGAGGAGATGGGAGGTGAGAAAGTTAGTGAGAAGCTGAGCGAGTTAGAAAAGAAATGGGAGAGGAAAGAGAGAGAGGAGAGAAAGAAAAATATAATAATCAGAGGTACGAAAGTGAGAAGAGAGGAGATGAAAGAGAAGGTAGAGGAGATATAAAGATAACAGGAGTGGAGGACGCAATAGAGGAAATAAAAGAGGTAGGCACGGTAGAAAGAGGAAAAGAAGTCAGCATGATGCTTCTAAAAATAAAATCGAGCGAGCTGAAAAGGCGAATAATGGAAAATAAAAAGACGCTAAAAGGCCGGGAAGAGAGAATAAAGGACGACCTAACGTGGGCGGAGAGGAAGACACAATGGATTCTAAGAAAAATCAGAAGAGAAGAAAGAGAGAAAGGAAAATACGTGTGGGTAGACTACGGGAAAATAAGAATAGAAGGAAAATGGTGGAGATGGGAGGAAGAAAAGGGAGCTCTGGTAGACTGGGTGGGGAGGGAGTGGAAGGCCTCCCAGGGAAGAGGACAAAGGAAGGGGGAAGAGTAGCAAGGGATATAGGGGCTGAAGAAAGTATGGAAGGAGCATACAAGCAAAAGAAAAGAATAAAGAGGGGAGAGACAGAGGAAGAAGTGTACGAAGAAAACTGGAGGGGGCAAGCGAAGAAGGGAGCATTAGACGAAAGGGAAAGGGGTAGGGTAGAAGAGAAGAGAAACAAAAAAGAGAAGGAAGGGGAGTATGGACAGTAGGATTCTAGAATTGTGCGGAAGTAAGAAATAAAGATGAAGACTTTTGGGAAACAATAAAGGAATGGGAAGCGGTGGTGCTTATAGAGACATGGTTAGACCTGGAGAAGGAAGGACGATAATAGGGGGCGACTTCAACGCGAGAACAGGAGAGGAAGGGGGAGCACAAGCAAAGGAGGAGGAGGAAGAAGAAGAGAGAAGAAGATCCAAAGACAAGAAATGTAACGCGGAAGAAGAAGACTGTTAGAAGTCCTAAGGGAGACGGGCTGGTCGATTGTGAACGGGAGCATAAAAGTGGATGAAGAGGGTGAATTCACATATACAGGGGCTAGAGGGGACACGGTGATAGACTACATGATAGTGGAAGAAGAAGGGAAGGAAAGAATTATAAGATTGGAAGTCGGGGACAGGGTAGACTCAGATAATCACCCCGTGATATTGAAGCTGAGAGCGGGAAGCAAGCAGAGGGCGGAAGTAGAAGAGAAAAGGAGACTAACAGCGAGAGGGAATTGGACGGAGCAGAGAAGGAGAAAGTTCAGAGAAGAAATAAAATGGAGCGAAAAGAGGGAAGGTAAAGTTGACGAGCATATGGAAATTATGATAGAGGAATTTGAAAGAGGGCTGGAGAAAGGAAGAGAGAAGGGCCAGAGGAACAAGAAAAAGGGGTAGTGGGACGAGGAGTGCAAGGAGATGAAAAATGAAGTCAGGGACTGGAGGTCTAAAATGAAGTCTAAGAGACTGGAGGAAAGGGAGAACGGAGGGAGAAAGCTACAGAAAGGCAAAGAAAGAGTACAATAGACTATGCGAAGATAAAAAGAGAGAGGAAAACGAGAGGTTCATAAAAGAGGTGGAGGGAGCCAAAACGGACAAAGGCGTGTGGAGAATAGTAAACGGAGAAAGAAAAAAGAGAGGCCAAGCACACTCGAATATAAAGGAAGAAGAGTGGAAAAACCACTTCATGAACCTACTAGGTGGAACCGAAGAAAAGGTGGTGTTGGGAGGAGAGAGGAAGACGGAAGAAGAGGAGGAGGAGGAGCAGGAAGAAGAAATAAGCAAGGAGGAAATTAGAAAGGCAGTGGCAAAACTAAAGGATGGGAAAGTAGTAGGCGGCGATGGAATGCCAAACGAAGTATGGAAATACAGAGAAGAGGAAGTGTCGGAATGGATTTGGGAAACTAGCAACAGAGTCTGGAAGGGAGAAGGTTGGCCGGAAGGATGGAAGGAGGAAATAATCACGCCAATCAGAAAAAAGGGAAATGGGAAGCAGGCCAGCGACTACAGGGGAGTAACCCTGATGCCGACGTTATATAAGATCTACGCGGCGGTTCTGACGGAGAGAGTAAGGAAAGAAGCGGAAGGCAAGGGAATGATCGCAGCCAACCAGACGGGTTTTAGGAAAGGAATGGGGACTATGGACAATATATACCCACTGAACTACATAGTAAACAAGCAGATAAAGAAAGAGAAGGGGAAGGTAGTAGCATGCTTTGTTGACCTGAAAGCAGCCTTTGATTCGGTGGACAGAGGAGTGTTGATGGAAACGCTAAGGGAGAGGGGAATAAGGAAAGGGCTGAGAGAAAGGGTAAAGGAAGTGCTGAGGGAGACTAAAAGCAGGGTAAGGACGAGCGAAGGGATGACGGACCCGTTCTGGACTGCAAGAGGACTGAGGCAGGGGTGTCCACTGAGTCCAATACTATATAACCTGTTAACGGCTGATATGGAGGAAGAAATACAGAAAGGAGGAATAGGAGGGATTAAGATAGGGGAGAGGAAAATATACACCCTGGCTTACGCAGACGATGTGGTGCTACTGGCAGAGAGGGAAGAGGACATAACAGCGATGCTAAGGAGACTGGAGAGGTACCTAGACAAGAAAAGGCTGGAACTAAATCGAGAAAAGTCAAAGGTGATGAGATTTAGAAAGGGAGGAGGAAGATGGAAGAAGAGAGACTGGATTTGGAAAGGAAAGAAAATGGACGAGGTGGAATCATTCAAATACCTGGGATACACCTTCGGAAGAAATGGGGGGAGCGAACTGCATGTAAAAGACAGGGTGAGCAAAGCAAGTGTAATAATGAGACAAGTGTGGGGGATTGGGAAAAGAAGATTTGGAAAGGACTGGAAGAGGAAGATATGGCTATGGGACAGATTAGTATGGACGGTAATCGCGTACGGCGCCGAAGTATGCGGGTGGAGAGAATGGAGAGAAATAGAAGGGCTGCAAGAAAGGTTTCTGAGGTGGACATAAGGGGTGGATTGGTGCACCCCAGGCTACATGCTGAGAGAAGAACTGCAAAGGTCGAAACTGAGGGTCAAAGCAGGAAAGTTAGCATGGGGATTCGAAAGAAGGATGTGGGAGGGGCGGGGAGGGGAGGGGAATTGACAAGGAAATGCTGGGAGAAAATGATCAGAGGGGAGCAAAGAGAGACAGCAAAAGATAAGTGGGAAGAGGAAAGGAAAAAGTTCTTCGCAGAAAGGGGAATAGAATTGGCACACCTGGAAACAAAAAGGAGAGAAGGAGCAATGGGCTCCGAGGAAATAGAAGAGGCAGACCTACGGATGCAAGAAGAAGAGAGACAGGACAAGATTATGGCATCGAGATACAATAAATGGTATAAAGTGATCAAGAATAGTGGAACACCTAAGTATCTGAAAAAAGGCTGGAAGGAAGAAAGATGGAGAAGAGTCGCCAGATTCAGAATGGAGAACGAGGTAAGCGAGGCCAAATACTGGGAAAGTGAAGAGAAAAGGATATGTAGAATCTGTAGGTGGGAGCAAGAATCGTGGGAGCATGTATGGGAAGGGTGCGAGGTAAACAAGGAAAGAAAAGAAGGCTGGCAAGAAAAAGTAAAGGAACTACTGGGAGAAAACGGCGACGGGGAATCCTGGATGAAAAAGGTAGAAAAAGATAGAAGAGAAGGGGAAGAGATGGCGACCACCGAGAAAAAGTAGAGAAAAAGGCGGAAGACGAAGTGCAGAGAAAAGAGAACGGAGCTAAACAGAAGGGAAAGGATAGATGCATAAGAAGGAAAGAATGAGAGAGAGAGAAATGAAAAGAAGGGAAGCAAGCGTGGGGGGTTTAGGGTAGGATTTATAGAGCAATAAGTTTAAGTTAAAGTTAAATTTTTGTTATAGGTTCGGGAACGCTCCTACAAAAAGTGCCTTGCAACCCGAAAGGGAGCGGAATAAAGAATACATACATACATATTAAATTGATACAAGTTATTATAAAGCCTCAAGTGATCACTATTTGCATTAAGTTTAAAAATGTTATTAAATATTGGTATTTTTACATAATTATAATACATTAGAAAACAAGAATACTAAAACTTTAAAAACTAAATTTTATTGCTCTGTGTAATTATACCAATATTCTCCAACTAACATTTATTTGCAATTTTTTTTTTTAATATTTCAGGATGAATTCAAAGAAAAGAAAAGTTGTTGATGAAAAGAGGAAATTTAATGATCGTTGGGAAAAAGATTATTTTTTCACAATGCAGAACTCAAAATTAATGTGTTTAATTTGTAGAGAGACAGTCGCTGTATTTAAGGAACATAACGTTAAAAGGCATCATGAGACAAAACATATTGAATATGTAAATTTCAGTAAAGAAGCGCATTCAGTTTATGAGTGCGCATCTGGGTGTCAAGTTTATGGCATATAATGATGAAAAGAAAATATTCATATTCTTAGCGATATTAATTCAATAAATGAAATATATGTGTTTATAAAAACTTTGACTCATATTTGTCTCATACCATAACTTTGAAGGTGATGAAAAATTTACCTAAACTTTACATCATGGCAGAAGGTAATATTTGCATTCATATTTACATCAGATGTTAAGCATAGAGTATACATACATACATATATACATACATACATACATTCATACACACAAAGTTACGTAGGTTAAGGGGAAAAGATTCAGACCAGGAGGAGAGACGGATCATTGCAATAAAATCGTAACTATACATGACAATACAATAGGGGTAGCCAAACTTTAACATAATAGGAGCCAGATATCGCAATTAAAAATCCTCGAGGGCCTCATCCTTCGTGTGTATCCTCCATTATATTGTCATAATTACGATTTTATTTCCAATGGTCTGTCTTTCCTCCTGGTCCAACTCTTCTCCTTTTACCTCACATAAAATGATATAATTCACATAAATTGTTAAGTTATAATCTTTCTTCTTTATTATATACACCTTAAGGAACTAAAATTTACATTTCTATTGAAATTACTTTTCAATATTAATCAGTATCATTATTAGCAGTAATATTTTCGATATCTGAATTTCTGTCTTCATCGTCATTTGGGAATAAAAGTCGTTCATTTTCGTTTCTTGTGCGACGATTTCCTCTATTAACAAGAGCATTGCGTGTATTCCTTGCAGTTTGCTTATAAGAACGTAACACTTCTTGAAAATTTGCCACAAATTTGTTTCTTGTGAATTTTCCAAGTCGGGGAATTTTCTTTGCCGCATCTACTCATATACGTATACATATATAATTATATAATCATATAATTATTGTATACAGATATGTACATACTGGTCAGGTTCTATTATACGTATAATAGGTTTCGGATGCCAACTCGCCAGACCCGTACAGTACATATAACAATGAAAAATATACTTACTAAAGAAAATCCTCATTAATTTAGTGTTATACAGTGCCTTTCTGAAGCCACCAGTTTTGTTTGTTTTGCCGGTCCATGTAAAATTTTCGGCTAAATCATTGGTCATTGCCACGCGGATAAAATTATTTAGAGTATCTCGTAAATTTTGACCACCGATAAATTCCAAATGTGCTTGCTATAATAATAATATACTAGATATTCATACTTAATCAATTATTTATACAGCATAATATAGTAAAACATATTTGTATACTTTTTTCTTACCAAAGCATTATGTGCCGTTTGATCGGCGCATTCGAAATTATGAAAATCGTCCATAATTTTAATTGGAAAACCTTGCGGTGGTTCAAAAATATTATTATGTTGCTCGCTTTCCTGCTTGTCTAATCTTCTTTCAATATTAATAACAATTCGTGTAATATTCGCACTAGAATCACTATTGGCACAATACAATACAATTAAATAATCTACAATATACAGTTAATTATACTGGAAAACATCATTTTACACAAACCTTAAACTTTTCAGTTCTGTTAATATTTGGCGCTCAAATTCGCTTCTTCCAGAAGCTTGTATGGCAGACTGTGCGGCACTGTATTTGTTTGTATTGTTAATGGTTTCTAGATCTGTATATTGTAATTCTCCTGAATGGGGTTGAAGTTCAGACAATAGCGTTGAAGTTAAAGATGGATTATGAAGGTTTTGGTAATAGGAGTGAAACTGATGCGGTCCAGAAGTATTGAATAAATTTCCGTGTTGTACATTATTGTTGTCCATGATTTTAATTTAGTTTTTCTTTATATAAAAATGTGTCCAAGCGGAGAAATGAAAGTAATTTAAGCCGATAATACAATACCAAGAGAATCAAAGCAGAAAATCAAATAATTATCAAGACTTTTAACAAAATGTCGTACAAACGCGAGAACAATTACCGCAATAATCCTCTTGAACATTATAGTACATATAAATTACAGTTCGTTTGTTTTTACAGAGACGCTTATGAAAATACACGCTCGATTCGTGACATCTTGTCTAGAAAATTTGTTATTTAATTACGCGCTAAATTTGAACGCTAGCCTATTAAACTTTTATTCTAAAAATGATATATCCCTTAGAAGTCAGAGAGTAAATTCATAACAATATATTTGTTGGGTTCAACACTCCCTTCTTTCCAGTATGGCATCTTGAAACATTTTGTTAAGATATCTTTCAAATAAACAGAGTTTTTTTCATGGCATAAAAAACGTGAATCAATTCCGTGAGGAATGTTATAAAAAGGATGAACTGATTCAAATATTTTTACAATTAGAGTTAATTCATTCGAAACAATATTTTTGATAACATTTAAAACTTTACATATTTCTCCACTTTTTAAAGCAATACAATCATCTCGATCATTATTTGTCATAATTCTAAAATGTTCAAACTGCAGGCCTTTATATTGTTCTGTATTTGAATTTAAATGATTTTGTAATAAAGGTCCATTCATATGTTTACGTAATGGTTTTATTTCCGATCTTTTACTTAATTGTATTAAACCACTTCCTCCTTCATCAATGCGATTGTGCAATTGTTGAAGTAGCAGTCCAGGTTTCCGCAAAAATTTTCGAAAAAATGACATGTTATTTTCATACGGAAAAGCTGAATATGTATTTAAATTTCCTAATCTCTTGACGTCTTTAACAACATGTAATAATCCATGTATGTTGTATGTGAAAAATGTTTGTGTGTGTGTAATTGTTTTTATTGTGTGTGTGTGTGTGAAAGAATCGAGAATGAACTAGAAAGAATGATTGAACGAGGAGAGAAAGAGTGTGAGAGTGAGATGGAGAGAGAGAAAGGAAGAGCGAAAGATGCGTGGAAGGAGGTGCGTGTTGGGAGAAGACGTTGCGAGGGAGAAGTGTGTGATCGCGAACAAGAGAGTGCAAGCACGTGAAGAAAAATTTATCATCAAATATATATATTCTTTGCTAAGCACAAAGATTTGAGACAGTGTAAGATTCATTTCTCCCCACGATCCAACAATGTTGGCCCATAAATGAATTCACAGCATTCAACATATACTCTTATAGCAATTTCGACGTACTCTAAATTAGCTTCACTAGGGTGTGCTACCGATAATGCGCGGCAAGCTGTATGCAATAATAAGAAATGTTGATAGGCATCTCCTTTCAAAATGTTGTGGAAAACAACTGGTCCAGTATATAATAATAACTGTCTGAATTCAGTTGCTTTATAATGCTCAAAATCTTCAACTGGTCGTGGACGTCGAGCAAATTCATGTGGACTGTAAGACTTTATTGTTAATAACTTGGAAGAAATGGCTTTAATATTCGATTTTTTTATATCTTTAAAGGCATACTTATTTTCTACTAATGCACTAATAAATTTTTTTACAACTCCTAAACATATTAAGTGCATGTATTCAAATGGTACAGAAGTTACCATAGGAAATGCTAAATATTTAAGAGCTGATTCATTGCTCGGAAAATGATGACTTTTATCCGTAGCTTGCAAATACTCATCGTCAGTGCGTGCATCGTTGAAAATATTTAAAAAGCACATTCTTCTATTTCTGAACTGTCCAACTACTTTACATTTGGAACATGGACTTAAGGAATTGTGTCCACGATGATTTAATATCAGTGCACGTGCAGGAGCATCTGCGATTAGAGCTCGTAGATAAATTGGAAGCAGTTTTCCATTAAATTCTATGCCATTTGATAAACATATCAATTGAAATTCTCGAATGAAATATTGAAAAAATTGCAAAGAATTGTCAGGTTTTTTTTCTCCTACATACACGCCAATAATCGCTGGCTTATCATTAAAAACATTGATGATCCGGAACTGAATGGGCCATATCTGTATGCGTACACTGCGATGAGCTGCCATTCCATCGGAGTGAACATCAATAATTAAATAATCAATATTTAATAGAGATGAAAAGTTGATGCCAGTTTATTTTTAAAATGCTCGAAATTATCTGCTGCCAATCTTTCATCTTCATCACTTGATGATAAGTCTTCAATATTTGAATATTCATCAAAATCATCAGTATTGCTTTCTTCAAAATGGTCATAATTATTATGCACACAAATTTCTTCAAAATGAACAGTATTATTTATAGAATTAACAGAAAACTTTAAATGCGAAGCTGTTGATGTGGTGACTGGTTGAGAACTACTATTTTGTGTAATTGATCGCAGCATAATCCGGTCTTGCATAAAATTTTTTTTCTTTCTTGAATTTTTAAATATTGTCGTGTTGTAAGTAATCGAGGGGAACCGTTCGATTTTTTACTTGCTCTATGCCGTATCATTAATATTAATAATATTATTAGAATCCAAATTGTTAGTGTTTCAAGTAACACTATGGTTCTAAATTGTTATTTAAGAGCACCTCACTTGGAAAACGAATATAATTATAATATAACTGTTAGAAAACACACTTACACCTCTCACTGCAATTATGTGCACTGGTATGTTACGATCACGACAGCAAATATATATCAGAAAACGGCTTTGTTTGGAAATATGTCGCAAGAGTTGTCATGGTAAAAAATACGAACTTACCCGATCAAGACCGAATTTTAAAATCTATCGGAAAATATTGCTTATTTTCTCAAATTTATATCATATTATAATGTTAATGCAGCTATGTAATGGTAACAATTTTACCTCATAACTTTCAATCATATTTGTAGTACGCCTAGTTCAAATATTTAGTATATTATTCGAAGACACATGATATAACAACATTGAACCTATTAATGATACATATGATGATGTTACATCATGACTGAAACTTATCGTCATGAATTTCAATCATATTTGCATTACTCATAAATATAATATTCCTTATACAGTAAAACCTGGATAAATGCAACGAAAGAATACTTGGATAAGTGCAACATCGCTATTCCCTCTACTTGGGGGGATCCCCCTAGACGAACCGAGCCGCTCGACGAGAAAACCGTATAATATGATCCGACCGTAATATCGGTGTGACTAATACTAATTGAACGATAAAACTTTTTTATTTTTAACTTCTTCTTAATGAAACTTTTACTAACGCATTTGTGAGATTTTTCTGATTAAAATGACACCAAACATGATATGGTTTAAATTATATTTATAAATAATAGTAATAGAATAAACAACATAGAATTGACACCACGACTGAATATAAATGATGTCGGCTGAATACAAAAGATGTGTACAGACACAGGATCGGCATGTCGGCTGAATACAAAACACGTGTACGGACACAGAATCGGCATGTCGGCTGAATACAAAACAAGTGTACGGACGCAGAATCGACACCTCGCTTGGATAAATGCAACATTAAATGCCCAGAATCGCCACCTTGCCTGGATAAATGAAATCTTTGAAACCAGAGCCGACACCGCGACTGGTTTTGATTTCGATCTCTGTTGCTTTTCGCCAACCTTTAACATCAATTTTAGCAAGTAATTATAATTGAAACTATATCGTGTTTGGTACCATTTTAATCAGAAAAATTTCACCAATGCGTTAGTAAAAGTTTCAATAAAAAAAAGTCAAAAATAAAAAAGTTTTATAGTTGAATTAGTATTAGTCACACCGATACGTTTCGGCTCTTTCCTTTCATCATCGGACCTCTCTCTTTCCGCCACTGTCTGTCCCTTTCTACGTTCACGCTTGGCTGGTCGTCGCGTGTAACCCGAGATTCGACACCTCGCTTGGATAAATGAAACCACTGGGTCCCAATCTTCGTTACATTTATCCAGGTTTTACTGTATTATGTGATTACAGCTGGTGAAGCAATATAGTTACAAGAAATAGTAAATAAGTTTATAAATTTGAAGTAAACTAAGTTACACAAATAAAATTCACAGCAAGTTGCTGCAAAGCGATCGTGTCTCATCACTGATAGGCCGCATCCAAGGAGCTTTTGCTTTCGCTCGCTCGTTAAGCTTGGTTGCGAACACTGCAGGATGGTATCGTCGCTCTGGAGCCAGTGTACTAATAGGCAGCATCCAAGGAGCTTCGGCTTTCGCTCGCTCGTTAAGCTTGGTAGCGAACCTGACACGTATGAGAACCACTGCGAACCGGTGGTCGAGCGCTCCGGGTCTGACGCGGAACCTTTGCCGCCTTGCCGACAAAAGAATCTATGCTACTGAAAATC